GTTCAGTTCAGGAAAAAGAACGGAAGAAAGAAAAACAGGACTGGGATTCGATCCTTGCGTTGATTTTCTTACCCCTCGAGCACCCGTCGATGTTGCCGATGTCCCCGAGCACCCGCCTGTTTCCTCCTGCAATGGCACTGCGGCACCTGGACATCATCAAAGAGAAACATGAGTAAAGATGAACGGCGACAATCCAGGGACGAACAGATGAACCAGTGACCCAACGATTGCGCCGACCAAGAGGAAGTGCAGGCGGCATGCTATGGGAACGGCGACGGTGGACCATGCGATGACCCACGGCGAACGACGCGGGAGGAGGAGGAGGGGGCGACTGGGGTCGTGCGGGCGGGACGAGGGAGGAGACGTCGGCGTACCTGCGACAGCAGAGGAGGAGAGGCAGGTGCGCGACGGGCGGCGGCTCCGTGGCTCCGGCTCTCTCGCGGCGAAGGGCGGCGACCTGCGGCGTCTCTCCCCCGGCGCGCGACGGGCGACGGCTCCGGCTCTCCCACGGCGAAGGGCGCGACGGGCGGCGACTTGCCGACGGCTCCCGCAGCGAAGGGTGGCGACCTGTGGCGGCTACGGGCTGCGAGAGGAACAGCGGGGCGGCGAACGACGCGGGAGGAGGAGGAGGGGGCGACTGGGGGTCGTGCGAGCGGGCAGGGTGGGTTAGCGATTGATTGTGGCTTGTTGCGTGGTTGGTAGCGTTAAACATAAAATGATGAAGGGCTATTAGATTTTGATGATGGATGGATGTGATTGTTTGGATTTGCCCCTTTCTTCCTTTTATAGTGGTAGTAGAAGATAGTAGATAATGGCATGGTGGATAATTAAAGCGTAAAACAGAATTCAATCACTCAGACCACCGCCCTCTTCTTGTTGATACAGATTACTATTTCCATGCGAATGGTGCGACTAATGGTCAGACTAGGAGATTCAAAGCAAGATGGCTACGAGAGAGTACGTTCGATGCCGCTGTAACAGAAGCATGGGCGAAGGTAGAAGCTGACCCGAATGCTACGAATATTTATGAGAAACTTAACTTAATGCATGCATAGTTTCATGATTGGGATCAGCGGGTTCTCAAAAAACCTAGAAAGAGACTCCGGAAAGCCCAACGGGATCTTGAAGAAGTCATGGCTGGACCAATGTCTGATGACAATGAAATAAAGAGGAAAGAGTTGGCAGAACTGATTGAATATTTGCTTGAATTGGAAGAAATACAAGTTATGCAAAGGTCCAGAGCTAATTGGTTGAAAGGGGGCGACCGCAATACAGGCTTCTTTCAAGCTTTTGCTTCTGCTAGAAGAAAGAAAAACTTTGTAAAGAAACTAAAAGATGCGGGTGGAAATTGGTTGGAAGGTATGCCAGAACTGAACTCTGATGTCCTAGATTATTTTTCTCACCTGTTTACATCAAAGGTGCAGCATACGGATCCTAGTATTCTTCAGAAGGTGCAGCGGAAGGTATCTCAACATATGAATGACTTTTTAATGGCTCCGTACACTGTTGAGGATGTGAGGAAGGCAGTTTTCAGTATTGGGGACCTGAAGGCCCCGGGTCCGGATGGTTTACATGCAATCTTTTTTTAAAAATATTGGCATATAATTGGAGATGAAATTACTCAGGAAGTTCTTTTGGCTATCAATTCTAGGAAGATTCCGGCAGAATGGAATGATACTACCATTGTGATGATTCCAAAAACTGATGCACCTGAGTTGGTAACTCAATTTCGACCCATCAGTCTCTGTAATGTGCTTTACAAAATTATTTCCAAGCTGCTGGCTTTACGACTGAAGGTTATTTTGCCTGAGATAATTTCCCCTACACAAAGTGCCTTTGTTCCCGGGAGGATGATCACTGATAATATATTAATTGCTTATGAATGTGTGCATAAGATTAAGAACAAGAGGGCTGGTCAGACAGGACTGTGTGCTGTTAAACTTGACATGCACAAAGCTTATGATAGGGTGGAATGGTCCTTCTTACATGATATGATGTTAACATTGGGATTCCATGAGCAATGGATTGAAATGATGATGGCTTGTGTCAGTTCTGTCAGATACAAGGTGAGGTTTAACTCTCGAGAGACAGACACGTTTACCCCTACCAGGGGCATTAGACAAGGGGATCCATTTTCTCCCTATCTGTTCCTTCTCTGTGCGGAAGGGCTTTCTAGTTTATTGCAGTATGAAGAAGAAGCTGGTGGCATAGAGGGAGTTAGAGTGTGCAGAAATGCATCATCAGTATCACACCTTTTATTTGCGGATGATTCTCTAATTCTTATGAAAGCAGATGTTTTAAATGCAGCTTCCTTACAGCATGTTCTGGAGACCTACTGTCAGAGTTCAGGATAATTGGTGAGTCTGTCCAAATCTAGTGTATTCTTCAGACCAAATACTCCTGCTGTATCCAGAACTGAAGTGTGTGAACAGCTACATATTGACACTGAAGCATTGTCTGATAAATATCTGGGCCTTCCAGCATTGGTAGGGGCTGATAGAAGTGACTGTTTCAGGCACTTTATTGAGAGGATTAAAGAAAGATTAATGGGATGGATGGAGAAACAACTGTCTACTGGTGGTAAGGAGATTTTACTAAAATCAGTGGCACAAGCGATCCCTGTGTTTGCCATGTCTGTGTTTAGTATCCCTAAAGGAATTTGCAAGGAAATAACTGACTTAATTTCCCAGTTCTGGTGGGGTGATGATGAGGAACATAAGAGGATGCATTGGTACTCTTGGTGGAAACTGTGCTATCCTAAAGCCGAGGGAGGAATGGGCTTCAGAGATTTATATTCCTTCAACTTAGCATTGTTATCAAAGCAGTGTTGGAGGATTATTACAAACCCCGACTCATTATGCGCTAGAATTCTAAAAGCGAAGTACTTCCCTAATAGCAGCCTTTTACAGGCAACCCTTAAAAATGGTGCTTCCTTTACATGGCAAAGTATTATGAAGGGACTAGAAACCTTCAAGTTGGGGTACATATGGAGGATTGGTACAGGAGAAAATGTTCATATATGGAGAGATCCCTGGATTCCAGCAAGTCCGGATAGGAAGGTCATTACAGCAAGGGGACACACAATCCTATCTACAGTTGATGAACTCATCGATCCTAATACAAACACATGGGATGAAGATTTGATTAGATCCATCTTTAACCCTGTTGATACAAGGAGAATACTTTAGATTCCATTGAGCTATGACACTTTTGATGATTTTATCACTTGGCATCCTGACCGGAAGGGTATATTCTCAGTCAGATCAGCATACCGGGTGCAATGGACTCAAACTTTTCAGGGAAATGCAAATGTGATGGAGAGCCCGAGTGGGTCCACTTCTTCGGCGATGTGGAGTGCATTGTGGAAGCTAAACATCCCACGGAAAATACGAATTTTCTGCTGGCGCGTGTTATATGGAATTATGCCTCTAAAATCCATACTATGTAATCGACACGTGGGTTCGATGGGATCATGCCCAATTTGTCATCGGGGTGCAGAGGATGTGCGGTATCTGTTGTTTGAGTGCACTCATGCAAGGGATTTATGGAGTCGGCTGGGTGTTCTGGACAGAGTGGACGAGGCAAGGAGAGTAGACCGGTCTGGATCGATCATTTTGGAACATATCCTTCTTGCACCAGATAGTCCAGCTCCCATTAAACCGAATCTGGATGTTAAACAAATCATAGCAGTGGGTGGTTGGTATCTTTGGTGGATCCGAAGACAACACACGCATGATGGGAGTCCTCCTAGTCCCGTGAGGTGGCCAATGTCTGTTCTGGCAATTGCTAATAATTATCATGTTGCTAATTGTAAGAGTGCGGTCGTAGTACAACGATGGAAAAAACCGGACCCAAAGTATGTCAAACTCAACGTTGATGCCTCATTCCATCCTGATGTTGGAGAAGGGGCAACAGCGGCGGTGATTCGGGATGCTAAAGAAAATTTTCTAGCTGCACAATGCAAATTCATTTCATATGTAGCAGATGTGGTTAATGTGGTGGCAATGGCAATGCGAGATGGACTGTCGCTTGCTAATTCCTTAGGTATGCCGCGGGTGGAAGCGGAATCGGACTCTACGATTGTCGTTGATGCGTGTGTGGGACACACAACATGATGGGATACAAATTCGGCAATATTCGCGGAATGTGTGGATATTTCCTCTTCTATTGGAAAGGTCATCTTTAAACATTGTTATCATGAATGTAACGAAGCGGCGCATGTGCTAACTAACTATTCTTATTGCAATACGATTACTAATAGTTGGACGAACGAGCCTCCTGGCTTGTTAGTCTCAAAACTGCTGGACGATGTAATCCCTGTTTAATTTAATAAAGCTAGCCATGATGGTTTTTCCTAAAAAAAGCGTAAAATGCGTTTAGTATCTGGAGGGATGTAGATCATCAGATTGTCGGTTTCGATGGATAGGATGATTTGGTTCTCCGCCCTCTCTTTTTTTTATAGTGATAGTAGATAGTAGATAAACTAATCCATTTACTTTCGGCCCGCGACAAACTAGTATTCTGCAGCCCATTTGTACCGTGCGTGGGCTTACTTCCCCAGCAGCACACACCGAGCAGATGAGCTGAGCCCACACAGCCTCGTGAGACACAGCCACCGCCAGCACCGACGCCGGAGAGCGGCCGGCGATCCCCGACGAGCTCCTGGTAGACATCTTCCTCCGCCTCCCCACCCCAGGTGACCTCATCCGCGCCTCCGCCGCCTGCGTCTCCTTCCGTCGCCTCGTCGCTTCCGCAAGATCCACCCCCCGCCCCTCCTCGGCTTCCTCTACCCAGGGCAGCACCGCTTCCACCCCGCCGCCCGGCCTCACCCCTCCGCGCCGGCGGCCAGCGCCGTCGCGCTCGCGGCCGACTTCTCCTTCGCCTTCCTCCCCGCCCCCGCCCGGAACTGGTCCGTGCGGGAAGTCCGCGACGGCCGCGTCCTCCTCGACAGATCCCGCCTTCGTGACGCCGGCGATGGGCTGGAAGCCCTCTTCAAGGAGATGGTGGTGTGCGACCCCTTGCACCGGCGGTGTCTCCTGCTTCCCCCAATCCCCGATGACCTAGCCGCTTCGGTCGTTGACCAACTCCTGATAGAAGGGCATTGCTTCGCCGAGACCTTCCTCGTCCCTCCCAGCAACGGCGACGAGGAGGCAGCAGCTGCCACGGAGGAGGAGGGGACATCATTCAGGGTGATCTGGATGGTGCTGTTTGAAGCTAAACTCGTGGCCGCTGTCTTCTCTTCCGGCACAGGGAAATGGCGAGCCTTTTCAAGCGATTTGTTGCCGGGCTTCGTGTTATCGACATGGATGGTTCTCTTCGTGTCGCGCCATTACGCCCATGGCTGCTTCTACTGGGTTTCAGGTTCAACTGAAAAATTGCCGGTGCTTGACATTCAGAGGATGGAATTCTCCATGGCCGACCACCCACCCGGTGCCAGACATTCGGGCGATGATGTGGCCATCGTGGAGGCAGGCCAAGGCATGATTCGGATGTTTGTGCCTAAACCCGACACATCTCGCCTTAAGTATAACGTTTGGCGAAACAATGCTGGGATTTCTATCCAGTGGCAGATGGAGAAGAGGACATTCTCGCTGGATTCCGGGTCCTTGCTCACGGGTGCGGTGGGGAGGCACTTGCTCCTATATCAGTGTGGAAGCTCGTTGGTCAAGTCAGGTGGTTTCACGCTGGACGTCGACACATTACAGTGTGAGAGGGTGTGCGCTTCTTTGCCCAAACCATCTCACATATACTGCAACTTCCCACCGTCGTTATTAGCGTCACCGACAGTGTCAAGTGGTAAGCCTTCTGTTGAATGCCAGAAACCTGCTTCCCTTCATATCACTATCACACAGCTTACAGTTCAAATGATCACAATATTTATCTCCTCTAAACAAAATGTTTGTCATGCAAAATAATACGTACCCCTTTTCCTTTGAAATCCCAATTGTTTTCAGTTCACGCATATGTTTATCTCCTCTTCATGACATCTATGTTGAGCTGTAGCTCCACATGTTGGGGCACTTTATTTCATCTATAGTAAGTTACTAAGGTTCCGCACAAAAAGCAAATTCACCCGTAGCGATTTACATCAGTACTTTCTGTCAAAAACCCAACTTTGTTTGCCTGCACACTAATGTAAACCTTTTTGCATCTTCCCCTGTTGGCAGTGCACTTTTGTGATTCATGCTGCCATTAGTCTTTAGAATGTATCCTCTTTGGTATTGAACTCTGATAATTTTACAACCAAGATATCACCTTTGTTTAGCCTACTGTTGCAATGGAACCTAGTAACCTTCTACCGGATTGCCATTGGTGCTTTCTATGTGCAAATGTTATTTATTTTTTCCTCCTTTAATCATCTTCCTATCCTTTTTGTCTGTGCTTCCTGTAATTTCTTTCCCATGCGCGTCCTTCCTTTGAAGCATGGAAACACACAAATTAGAGTACTACACAATTGCCCTTGGTTGCTGCATGATTGAGACCATTAAGATTCTTTTTTTACAGAACTTGGTTGAATTTGTGAGTACAGAATTGCTGGATTTGATACCGGGTTCTCTACTAATAAGTTACCTGCAATTTCTTTAAACCTTGATCACATTACTATTGTTTTTCAATCAACATGGAACCATTCTAATCTCAAGGTCACTTCATATATAAGATATTTTAACCTAAAGACTAATAGTTGTACACCATAAAATAGGGTGATTTCAGCCTTGGTAGTGTGCAACTTTAAGTGAAACTGCCAGACAAGTGAAAAATAGCATTGGCTTGTGTCAATGTAATGGTGTGACCCTGTGCAATGCAGCCAAACCCCATGCTGACGTCCGGGGAGAGGGGGGCGCTGTGCGGGTGCCTGAACTACAAGAAGCCGACCCTGGAGGCGTGGAAGCGCACGTCCTCGCAGCGGCCACCCAAGCTCCAAACCCCTTGTTCGTCGGCGGCAACGATGCCGAGGCGGGTTGTGGTGGGCGAGGATGCGCTGGGGATGGACCTCCGGAGGGTGCAGGGGCGGGTGGCGTAGCTCGAGAAGGCGTGCAAGGAGGCGAGGGACGTGCCGGTACCAGGGTGTCGAGGAGGACGGCTGCGGCCAAGGGCAACAAGTCCTTCAGCTGGAGGGGCTGCTTGCCTTTTTGGATGTGATAGCTAGTCTCAGATCCTTTTGTAAGTTCATTCATTTGCCTGATGTGTTGTGCTGGTCTCTTGGTTTGTGCTGCGTGTTGGTCACTCGCTGGTTACGAGCAAGACTGGCAGCTGAGCTGGGACTTCAAGCTTTCACCGTTTGCCCCCTGTTTGCTTCTATCGTCCTGTGCAACTGTTGCGAGATGACTGATCGGCAGTGCAGTATTATTACTGCTTGACGATTTCAAGCGCTGGAAGGAATTAGTACTCCCTCTGTTCTTTTTTTACTTGGCGTGTTAGTCCTGTCTGTGCAGCTTGACCAAATTTATATTGAAAATTTCAACATCTACTATACCAGATAAATATAACACTGTGACAAAGAATACCATTCCATGATGGATCTAATCATATTGATTTTTGGTATTTTTGAACATTGATGATACCCCACGGAGTATCTTTAATTTCTCTGTGAACTTGGCAAAAAGAATACCATTCCATGGAGTACCTTTTTTCTATAAACTTGGTATAAAATTTCAAACTAGAGCAGTGGAGGGATGGATGGTATATCTTTTTTTGAGGGATGGAGGTATAAGATGATATTCAGCCATGCAACAGGAAATTCAGAACAGAGAATGGGTTGCAGGCAGGATCATTCTCAGCCTCGTGTTATGAGCGCTCTGGGTCTGCCATTAGGGTTGGGATGTTAGAAAGATCCAAAAGCCGCAATCATGTTCATCTCTCTTTTCTTTTCAAAAGCTAGACTGCACTGAGCTGACACATGTTCATCTATTAGGTTTTAAGCTATGAATCAGTATAATTTTGTATGATGGTTTCTACGTTTGCTCGACACTGACAAACGCCACTAGACCCCAGTATAATTCTGCATGATGGTTTCTACATTTGCTCGACATTGACAAACGCCACTAGACCCCAGTATAAATCGGCATGTTGGTTTCTACATTATGCTGCAACCATAAATTTTCTGTCGTTGCTTCATTTTTGGCACATTTGTATCAAAATGGGGTAAAAACCTCATACTTTTACTCAATAATAATCCTAGTAGATCTGAGTATTGAAATGAGGCAAAAAAATTCCCTTATTTCTTCTGAAAAAAGGTCCACAGCAGTCATCTCGGTTCTTTTTACACCATAATAACGAGACATTGGCAGAAAGCAGTATCCGTTTATTTACTGCATCCTCACAGTACTAGTATATGATTCAATGCATATTTGGCGGAAATCCTAAGAAAACAAAAAACGAAATGTGCAGAGGACCTCGTCCTAGAGAGACCTGGCCGGTGAACGTCAGTGTTGAGGCCGGTGACTCCGAATCGAGCTTCGCGCCCTGCCATTCCTGCAATAGCTCAAGATCTGCGGTTTTTTCTAACGATTTCGCTGTTAAGAGTGTTGGACTTGGTGTGTGTGGTTCTCTTGTGGAACAACGACTGGTTGGTCGGCCTAAAATGGTTTAGCAACTCCCACATCGATGTAGTGATCCGGAATGAAAAGCTATGGGAGAAGGGATAGAGGTTCACCGGTTTCTATGGAAGGCCGGCAAGATATAAGGGGAAAAATAGCCGGGAATCGCTCAAGTTTTTGAGGTGAGATTATGGTTATCATTGGCTTTGTGCCCAGGGTTTTAATGAGATTCTTGAGGCTCATGAACAATTTGCAGGTTATCATCGTGAGGAATGGCAAATGGATGGATTCAAAGACATTGTGTATGAACGCTTATATCGGTTTAGAGCTCAGAGTGGTGGCATACAGAGAACAAACCAGCCAAAAAATGCATGGACTAGACATAATGGTTATGATGGTGGTGGCAAATGCATGGGTACCTAGGACTGGAGATCTGGCTCAAAACAGTTAAAAACTTTGAGGTCGCTAGGTTTTCCGTCGGTTGGTGGGCCGAAAGCCCATGGCGCGTGCCGCACTCCTCCGTTCCTTCCCGCCGCCCCGCGTCCGCCCATTTTCCTCGCCGGCGGCGGCTCCCTCGCCCCTAACCGGCGGCGGCTCCTCCGCGCCTCGTGCCGCGCAGGGTCGAGAATCCGGAGGAGCGGCCGGTTTCCGAACGGAACTCCCCGAGTTCTCCCCCGAATCGCCGATGCTGCGGGCGGCGGCCGAGGCGGCGCTGCGGCGCGTCTCGCCGGCCCCGGCAAGATCCGTGCACGCGCAGTTTCGCCGGGGCCCGGAACTGCGGGTGGCGTGGGTCCCCCTGTACAGACGCCTGTCGAAGCTGCCCCCGGCGGCGCCGCTGGGATGCGTGGCGGCGGAGCTCGACCGGTGGCTCCGCGAGAGACAGCCGCTCTGCGAGCACCAGCTCCTCTTCTACGTCCGCAAGCTCCGCAACTTCAGACAGCACAGGCGCGCCCTCGAGGTAAGCCTGCCTGACCGGCCGACCCCCCCTCCCGTTTCCAATGTGGCCGCGCCTCCATCTGGTTCTTGGATCCAGGACAGGCGACGCGGCTATCTACAGGTGGATTGGTGATTGAAATGCAAGGGTTTTGACTGACTACAAGTGTGGTTTTAGATTTTGGCGACAGAAAACCTGAAACTTTATTCTGTTATTACTGCTGGTTCAGCTGCCACCTTGACATAGGTTAAGTTCAATTGGTACTTTATTTTTTAATATGTATGAAAAGGAGTGGTGTGAATTCTACCAGTATACCATGAAAGAGTTGTTACCAACTGAATCTCAGTCTAGTGGTACCAAATGTTGCACCAATTAGTAGAGTATAGGAAATAGATTCTGAAGATGATAGTCTAAATTAGCTGTCTCTCAGCTGCTACCTTAAAATGCTGATGCCCGGGGCTACTTTTAGCTCAAGTGCTGTTCAATAAACAACAACTAACATTCACTGCAGAGAGGATCACAATGGTTATAGTGTCTGTCTTCACCATTGGTCTCTTTGCCTGTGCAATCTGCGCAGGTACCCAGTAATTTATTCATCCAGTTACCACTACTTCATTGAGTTTACATGCTCCCAATAAAAATTCAATCTGATTTCTGATAAGCCTTGTTTTGTGGCACTTGACCCCCACCCCAACCCCGCAGTTATGGCATGTCTTTCGAAACTGGGTAAAGGAAGGTAGACGATCATCTTGGGAACGAGGATCAGGTCTCAGGGGGTAGCATGGAGGCAAAGATTCACCCTCCAGGCTGCTTTTGGAAGTTGTCCTGGCTTAATCTAGGAGGCTCTGAAACTTTCCTGTGTTTGGACACTATTCTCTCTTGCCCTTACAATTATATGGACTTGAATTTGTATTAGTACCTACACCCTTCACTAATAAGGGTAGGAACTGACCAGCTAGTAGTACTAGTACAACTCGGTGGCTCAAGTCAATATGTCAGACTTGCAAACTCTAACTAAGTAAGACACGCTCTCTAATTAACATGGCTACACGCCTGCTGCCACTTCCAATTCTTGTGATGCTGCCAGCGCTGATCCTTGCTGATGAGTCTGACTCTGGTAGGACTTGCCCCAAAGGTGTCCACAACATTTGTCCCCTCGTCTGAATCAACTCATAGTCGAGTTGGATGTTCAGATACTGACATTAAAGTTCTTCCAGCAGTTCCCACGTTGCACCTTTATCTTGTTGATTCGATACCCAGCTTTGTTCAGTGAGGGATTTGGGCGACATCAGGGTTGGGTGCCACTGGTGGAGAGCAACAGGGGATCCTGAGCTATGATCGGCGTCTTTACCTTCTTTCTTTGGTACCTTGCTTTGTTCTGTCGGTTTTCCCTGTAAGTTGTTGGCTTTTTTTTAAGTTTGGGAGACGAACTTTTAAGTTGCAAGTAATGTTTTTGTAGCTTTGGTTGCAGAGCCTTGGTTTCAAGCTGGAGGCTTGGGTAAGGCCATCTCTGATGTATCCCTCTGGATCTTGTTGTGTTATCAGTTTTAGTGGGAAATGAGTTTGGGAGCGGCATTGCGGCAGCTGCTGCTGTGCCTCTCCACTGAACCAGGAGCTCACATTGTCCATGGTTCGACTTTGTATGCACCACCTTGTCTGGGTAGGAAGCACTTGCCTATGCAGAATGTCTGGGAGGGGCACAACCACATTAGCACGGTCTCCTTGGTACTCCTTGAGCAGAGCCACGTGAAAGGCATCATGTATCTTGGCACAGACAGAAATCGAAAATGACAGACCACTGAATCAGTTCGTTCCAAAATTTTAAGGGTCCATAAAAGGTTGCACTGTCTCCTTGACACCTGCTATGGTTGCCCCTACCAAACCCGCTGGCCTACAGCATAGTCAACCTGACAGTGGTTCTGGTCATATTGGTCTTTCATAACAGCCTGAACTTGCAGTAATCTTTCCCTTATTTCCATGATAAACTCATCCCTACCCCTCGTCTGATTATGGATAGCAGTTACCTTTGTCTTTCCTCGTTCATTGAATAAAAGAGTCGGTGGTTAACTTAGCACAATGCTGAGGGCGCTCTCCAGTTAGGCAGCGAAATCACATCGTCATCACACGATTAACCACCTCAGTTTGAATGTCCAACTGTGGATGGAAAGTTGCGGTCATCCGCAGCTTGATACCACCCATATGGAATGACTCTTGCCAAAAGTTGCTGCTAAAAGTTCTCATCTGTGAATTTTATCTATTTAGTTTAGTTTGGTGAGTATATCTTCTGACTAGTATGATGGAAATTATTTTTATGGTCGGGTTGTTAAAAATGCCAGTAGTGCATCAGTTTTACATCTTTGGTTTATGCGGAATCATGCTGCAAATCGGATTCGGAATTTTTATATTAAAAAAATACCCATGTCTTCAACTATCGCAAAAGTCTACTTTTATTTATATTTAACCCCTCTAAACTTTGTATGTCATCAGAAATCGCCAGTTGTGTTTCTCTTGGAGTTGTGTGTACTTCTGTATATAATAGTTCCATATGGACCTTTTCTCTTTTTACATCTAAGTATTTATCTGAAGCCCCCTTTCTAGCAAAGGGAACTTATGTTCACTGTATTACGATTGACCATGTTGTATGTTTACAGCTGATAGACTGGATGGAAGCTCGTGGGGCATACTTGCTTCCTGGGGATCATGCGCTGCGGCTTGACCTTGTATGCAAAGTGAATGGCTTAGAAGCTGCCGAAGAATACTTCTCAAGTCTTCCAGATATGCATAAATCAGTGAAAACATATTCCTCTCTGCTTAACTGCTATGCAGAACACAAGCCAGAGAAAGGTCTGGAACTGTATGAAAAGATGAGAACCATGAACATCGTTCCGAATACACTGGTGTACAAGAATTTGATGTCCTTGTACCTGAAGGCAGGCCAGCCAGAGAAAGTCCTCAAAACATTTGAAGAAATGCGAGGAAATGGCATACAAACAGATAATTTTACATACTGCATCCTGACAGAAAGCCATATTATGGTTAATGGCCTAGAATCCACCAAGAAGTTCCTGGAAGATTTGGAGAAGTCAATTCCAGTTCACTGGTCCCTGTACACTGTGCTGGCTAACAACTACAATAAAGTGGGGCAGTTTGACAAGGCGGAATTGGCCCTAAAGAAAGCTGAGGAAGTCATGGACAAGGGTGAGATGTTTGCTTGGCATAATCTTCTCTCCCTCTATGCCAGTTCCGGCAACTTGTCCGAGGTCAAGAGGCTTTGGGTATCTCTGAAGTCAGAATTGAAGATATGTTCAAACAGAAGTTACCTAGTGATGCTTTCATCTCTGAAAAAGCTAGACGATTTTGACTCCATGCAGCAGGTCTTCCAGGAGTGGGAATTCACTCAACAGAGCTTTGACATGAGGATACCAAACGTGATGATTCGAGCTTACCTTGCCAAGGACATGACAGACGAAGCCGAGGCTCTCCGCCAGGCAGCCATGGCCCAAGGCCGTTCTGATCCTATGACCTTCTACATATTCGCTGAGTCCTATCTGGAGAAATCCAGGACCGATGCAGCGCTCCAGGTCTGGAGGGACGCAGAGAAGATAGTCAATACCCCAAACTGGGCACCGCGGCCAGAGTTTGTGAAGAGATTTTTGAAGCATTTCGAGGAGGCGAAGGATGTGGATGGGATGGAGTCGTTCTGCGCGTGCCTTGAGAAGCTGGAGTGCCTCGACGCAGATGCTCGTGATGCCCTGTGCCGGACCTATGTAGCTGCAGGCAGAACAAATCCATCCTCTATCATTCACCGGACGGAAGAAGACCAGGTTGAGACTAGACCTGGCTAGAAGCAAAGGCGTGCTGTTGCGTCCCACCGTTGTCGAAACAACCTTTCCCGCCCTTTAATTGTTTGGCGTTGATGTCCTGAGCATGAGCTTTATGATTTTGCCCTTTAGTTTCATGCTGACAGTCTTTAGTTCCCCTTTAGTTTCATGTTGATAGCCTTGCCCTTGTGGCATCAGAGATAAACATGCACTCTCCTTACAAGCTGGTTATATACATGTTGAAGATGGCAACAAGAATTATTCATGTTGAAGCTACTAACTATTCCATCCGTCCCAAAATAAGTGTCTTAATTTTGTACTAACTTTAATGGGCAATCTGAGAATTTTCTGTGGACTACATGTTTATCAACAAAGACGGTCAACACCAGTAGCAGTGCCCGTGAAATATTTAGTTGAAATTCTCTTGTTTAGTGCCATACTTAAAGAGAGCGTATATCTCTAAAGTGTAATCCGACTAAATATTCGTCAACACAAGTAATGGAACGAAACAAAATTACATACACCCTTGTAAAAAGAAACAGTACTACAAGTAGATTTTCTGGAAAGCAGATGGAAAGATCTGTATTGCAAATTTGCAATCATCTCCTTGGTTCTTGTAACACCGAAGAGTTGATGTGAAATATATTGATAATAGTAGACAAACTAACTTGATTATCGTTTATTATCGAATTTCACAAGGGCTAAAACCATCCCATATATTGAGACTAGACCTGGCTAGAATCGAATTTCACAAGGGCTAAAACCATCCCATATATTGAGACTAGACCTGGCTAGAAGCAAAGGTGCGCAATTGTTAGGCGTTGATGGCCTGAGCATGGGCTGTATGTTTTTGCCCTTCAGTTCCATGTTGATAGCCTTTAGTTCCGCTTTAGTTTCATGCCATATATAGCCTTGCCCTTGTGGAATCAGAGAGAGAGAGAGAGAGAGAGAGAGAGAGAGAAACATGTAACTACCAGCTGTGGTTATATACCATTAACCTGGTGGGCTAGATGAGATGGCAATCATTAATTTTTGATGTCCTAGCTATTGACTACTCCCTCCGTTTTTTTACTCCGCATATTAGTTTTAACCTTAGTCAAACTTTATAAACTTTGACCAAGCTTATCGAAAACAATCTAAACTTTCACAATAACAAATATATATGGTATGAAAATATATTGAATGATGATTCTAATGGTATTGATTTGGTATTGTGGATGTTAATAGTTTTTTGTATACATTTGGTCAAAGTTTACAAAGTTTGACTAGAGACAAATCTAATATGCGAAGTAAATAAAAACAGAGGGAGTACTAAGCTCCTTGTAGTCCAGGAAAAATGAAAATGGTCAATCTGAGAATTTTCTTTGGACTACTCCATGTTTATGAGCAAAGAGAGTCAACACCAGGAGCAGTTCCTGGGAATAGTATTTAGTTAGAATTCTCTTGTTTAGTGCCATTCTTAATGGGGAGCATATATCTCCAAAGTAAGCCCACTAAATAAGCATGGGTTCTATAGGCAACGGAGATGAAGATGGCATTTTTTCTGCTCCACCTGCTTATAAGATGTTGGTCAGAACAAAGTTCAGCAGCGAGAGCTGGTTGGAAGGAAACAAGGGACCATCTGATTCTACAGCTGGCCTTCACTTTGGAAAATTCGAGTACCATCAAAGTTGATCTTATGAACATTAATTGGTCAAATAACTTGTGGAGCTAAAAAAAGATCATAATTGGTCAAATACAGTTTTGCAAGTTTGAAAAAAACAAACACCCGTCTGGGCGTGCCGCACTCCTTCGTTCCCTCCTCCTCCCCCTCTCCCCTGGGCCATTTTCCACGCCAGCGGCAGCTCCCTCGCCCGTTACCGGCGCGGCTGTTCTGCTCCTTGTGAAGCGCAGAGTCGAGAGCTTGGAGGAGCGGGCGGTTCTCGAACAAAACTACCCGAGTTCTCCCAATAAACCCCCGAGAATCGCCGATGCTGGGGGCCGCGACCACGGCGCTGCTGCGGCGTGTCTCGCCAGAGTCCCGGCAAGATCCTTGCACGCGGAGCGTTGTCATGCTCCATATTCAGATCGATATCTAGTTTTGGGGGAAAGTGACTAGGGTTTGGAGAACACCAGAGTATACGCAAGAATGTATGTTTGTTTTAGCTGTAAAGTGTTTGATAGAGAATTCTCTGGAAAAACAGCTAGCTACTACAGACGGAGACGCTGGCTTACATAGCTCAGCTGGCAACAGAATGAAAGGGAACAGTAACGACATAGTGAAACGCTACAGAGCGGTAAAATAACGGTTTGGTAACAGGCGAGCGAAGCGAGCCGTTAGATCTTCTCGCGATAGTCCATCTTAGTCGTTCCTCAACCGAATCTTGCGACAGTCTGATCTGACGAAGCTTGGTACTGACAATACTCCCTCTGAAAGCGAACTTGATCTCAAGGAGCTTAATGATTGAACCAACCTTGAACCATTTGCTTGAAGAATGCTGAAAATGTGCGCTTGATGAAGTCGGCGTCTTCCCAAGAAGCATCATCAGGAGGAAGGTTTTCCCATGGGAGGAATTTGTCTAGTTTCCAGTACCAGACTAGGCTCTGTTCGAATGCGGCCATAAGGGCCAATTAGTGGCGGATCAGTGCAAGGTTTGTCATGTCTCTTCAACTGGCCGACATGAAACACTGGATGGATGCTTGCAGTATAAGTCAGGAGGAGTTTGTACACCACATTGCCCACTTTTGCTATTACCCTGAAAGGGCCATAGAACTTGCTTTGTAGTTTGATGTGAGAGCGCAGGCCAAAGGCATTTAGTCCGTAGGGCTGCATTTTGAGATAGACCATGTCACACATAGTAAGTGTCCTCTCTACTCTCTTTAGGACAGCATATTTCTTCATGCGTGCTTGTGAACTAGCCAGATTGGCCTTGAGTTATTGCCACATTGTATTTCTGTCAGTAACAAAGTCAGTAGCCTCACTGTTGTTACTATGAACAGAGTATGAAATTTTTAAGCCTGGTGGGGGATATCCATACATAGCCTCAAAGGGTGTCTTTTGCAAGGATGAATGGAAAGAGGTCTTATACCAATACTTTGCCATTGATAAGTGCAGGGCCCACTTCTTGGGTTCAGTTGAAATCATGCACCTTAAGTAGTTTTCAATACACTGATTAACCCTCTCCGTTTGTCCATCTGATTACGGATGATAAGCAGAAATGTATCTCAGCTCAATTCCCAAAGCAGTAAAGATGTCCTGCCATGATTTGCTTGTAGATATTTTGTCCATGTCAGGCACAATTGCCAAAGGAGGACCATGTAGTTTCAGAACATTATCTATGAATGCTCTGGCTACTGTTTGTACAATAAATGGGTGAGCTAATGGAATAAAATGTGCAAATTTGGAGAGTTTGTCCACCACTACAAAGATAACATCATAGCCCTGGGATTTAGGAAGCCCCTCCACAAAATCCATACTAACATGTGTCCAAACCATATCAGTAATGTGGAAGGGGTCCAGAAATCCAGGGTAAGGGCAATTTTCCCCTTTGCTTTTCTGACAAACATGGTAGAGCAGAACAAACATGTCCATGTCTTTCTTCATGCCTGGCCAATAAAACACTTGTTTAAGCCTTTGTTAAGAGGCCTTCATACCTGGATGTCCACCTACAACAGATGAATGAAGGGCATGGAGTAATCTATTCCTTAATGTAGTATCTCCCCTTACATAAATCTTTCCATTGTGTCTGGTAATTCCATCTTGGAGTGTGTTCTTGTTGACAGTGTGAGTTGGAGTGAGGAGCATTTGCTCCAGTAATTTCTGACAGTGACTATCTTCAGTATATGATTGTTCCACTTCAGGAATCCATTTGGGAGTTGCTAGGGACAAGGCCATGCAAGAATGCTTCCTGGAAAGAGCATCTGCAGCTATATTTCTTTGCCCTTTTTGTATTCTAACTGGAAATCGAATTCCAGTAATTTTTACATAAGCTTATGTTGAATGCTAGTGGAGATCTTTTAAGGGCTATAACTAGTGCTAGAGCTTCCTTCTCATAAGTGGACATAGTTGCATTTTTGGGGAAAAGTGCAGAGCTATAATAAGCAATGGGCCGACCTTGCTTTATCATTATTGCTCCTAAACCAGTTCATGAAGCATCAGTCTCTAAGACAAAAAATGCAGAGAAATCTAGGAGTTCAAGAACTGGTGCAGACATGAGTGCTTCCTTAAGTTGTTGGGAAGCTGTTGTTTGAGACGGAGTCCAAAATAAGCTGGCTTGACATGGCACATGATCAGACATGTAGTTGATTCAGAACCAATGCAGCATTCATGATATTTATATTGATGGTGTTTATATCTACTCATACTGGTGTTCAATGTTAAATATCCGCAATGCATGATTATGATCGTTGTCGCTCTCTAGTTGGCCGCTTCTCAATCTATTTGCTAGCCTTCGCCTATACTAAAACGGAAATACTGCTTGTGTATCCAAAATCCTGAAACCCAAAGTTGTTCTAAAAGAGTCCACCATATCTACCTATATACGTTATTATCCTGCCGTTCCAAGTAAATTTGCATGTGCCATCTCTTTTCAAATAAACATCTATTTTGTGTGCCCGTACCGCTCATGAAGCGACGTGACAGTCAATATCTTTCAGGATAAGTGGGTTATTCTCATGATGTGTGTTTATTCACCCGTCCTTGCATGAGAGAGGCTGGTAACTGGGATGCCCAATCCTGCTAACCAAAAATAAAGAAAATATAATAAAACAAACTCCCATTGGAAAGTTGATCGTTTGGAGGGCACCCATGAATTCTGCTAGCCATGGCTTGTGTTCGTATGGTTGAGGGGAAGTATCTTTTCATTTCCACATGGGAACCGCCAATAATGTGTTTAGCATGAAAGATATTGAAATCCCTCATCTTGACAAGACACACCACTCAAAATTGTATTCATCTGTGATTTAAGCTCTAAGCTCGGGCACCACTGCAAATCTTTGCTTCCCTCTACGAAGGGCTTTCTATCTAGTTCCATGTTATTTACTTT